TGGTAGTTTCCTGTGACAATACAGTTTCTGCAGATAGCTGTAACAGTTGGTAGCAATGGCAGCAGCTTCCACTTTGGCTTCATCATACTTAACCTTGTTTCTAGCCATCCAGACAAACCAAGTTGTAATACAAGGTAAATGGGGTAAAGATTGGGCCTGCCAATCCTTCCAGCTCAAGGAAAAGTCATGCTAAGAAAGCATAACAGTGTTCAACTTCATTTTTGGCAGCAGAAGGCTCCAAACTTGTTGAACAACAGTACAGTTAAAAAACAGATGCTAAAAAAATTCCTTCTGTGATCTACATAAAGTACACCTGGATGGGCCCCTCAAGTCTTTTAATTTTAATATATCATCAGTGGGAATTAAACCATGGAATAATCTCCATGAAAAGAAAGACATTGAGGGAGGCAAAAATTTGTTCCAAGCAATTTTACCTCAAGGGACCTTTTACTGAGGGAAGCAGTATCTAAATATAACTGCAGACCAGCTCTGAGAAAAATTCCTTTTCATAATTAATTTATCTTTCTTAGAATTGTCAATAGGTATTTTCATAACTTTGTGGAGTAGGCTAGTTTCAAGGATGTTTTGTAGAGCTTGTTGGTTCCAATTGCCATCAGTCCATAAACCTGCCACCTGAGTGGAGAGATCAAAAGAAGAAGGAGATTGAGGAGTGATGTTACCATCCCCAGTCCAATTGCTTAGCCACAGATTAATCTTGCCTTCCTCCACCTCCCAAATAAAGAAATTTTCAGCCTTGGTCCTCATTCTCAGCATATTTTTCCAGGTCCTTAAGTCTCCTAATTTCCCTGAAACAAGGGAGGGATGCATGTCCTTGCAATACCTTTCATAAATTTAGTCCAAAGAGAGGTATGTGCTCTAAACATGATCCAAAGTTTACAAAAATTAATTTTTGTAATCTGTTGAAAGCTTTTAAAACCCAGTCCTCCAGCTCTAGTACTACTACATATCTTCTACCATCTGATCCAGTGCACTTGTTATCTCTGACCCGCCGAAGGGAATTTATTGAATGTTTTTCTAGAGTTAACTAGATTGATTTCTTCATGATAGAAACCTAGGAAAGATAGGAAGGAAAAGCAGCCAAGTCACTTTTAAGAAGAGTGACTCTACCTCCATTAGAAAGGAATGAATTAGACCAGCAATTAAGTTTATCCTAAATTTTTAAGACAATATCATCAATCTGAAGTTGTCTAATTCTCCCTTTTAATAGCAAAGTGCCCAAATATTTTAATGGGTGGTAACTAGTGCAAAAACCAGTCAGGTCAGATATCCAGTGCTTAATCTTTTGCTTAACCCTTTTGCTGAAAATAATTTGACATTCCTGTGTATTGAAATGCATCTCTGAGCAATCTTGAAAATTTTTCAGACATTGAAAGATCAATTTAACTGGTGGCTTAGTAGCTTTGGCAAAGAAAATTACATCATCAACAAAGGCTTAGTGGTTAACAATAGTGGTTAACAACAATGTTTGATTTGTGACTATATAAGGAGTGAGGTGACTTGTCAGCAGTTGATTAAAAAGCTTAGACAAGTAGTTAAAAGCAAGAATAAAAATAGTGGGAGATAAGAGGTCACCTTGCTTAATGCCTCTAGATGCACTAAAAAAATCATGGGAGTTGACATTTATGAAAATGGAGTGATAATTGTTAGATAACCATCTGTTAATGAAAGAAATAAAGGGAGTAGAGAAACCTCTAGCAAATAAAACCTCCTCAATGAAGCCCCAATGAATGGTATCATAAGCTTTTTGATATCTAGTTTGAAAATGAGATTCCTTCCTCTGCACTGTTTATCCAAATCTGAAACTAGTTCTTGAGCCAATAGAACGTTTTTCATAATGCTTCTCCCTTTAATAAATGCTTATTGGTTATCACAAATGAGGAGGGGTAAGTGAGGTTGGAGTCTATTGGAGATCACTTTACTAACGATCTTTGACAAAACATTAGTAAGGCTGATAGGCCTAAAGTGATCCCAATATAGTTTAGAAGTAGTTTTATGGATTAAAATGATAGTAGAACATTTGAACCAATTGGGGAGATCCATTCCTCTAAAGAAACATTGCACAGCTTCCACAATATCACCTTTGATAATCTTCCAAGGCTTTTTGTAGAAGTTAGTAGAAAAACCATATGGACCAACAACTTTGGAGCTGTCAATGGAGGCAAGAGCGGATCATATTTCCTCCTCCCCATGTATTGAAGAAAGATCAAGATCCCTGGTGTAGTCCTTGTCCAAACAGAAAAGTTCCTTCTGAATAGGAGACCTTGAAACAAGAGTTTGAGTAAAAAGGCTTTGAAAAAAATTAATTGCACTAGAAGCAATAGATTCAGCAGAATGAAGCCAATTCCTAGAGGAATCCTTGATCTTATGAATGGTATTGCATTTTCTCCTATAAATAATATAGGCATGAAAATATTTAGAAATTATATCCCCTTCACAAAATTTGGTCTTAGTTGCCTTTTGAGCATAGAAATCCTCCTGCATAGAGATAGCATGCATTAAATTTTCATTAGCCACCAGTAACTCCTTTTCCATGGTAGGGTTAGATTCTAAGCTAGCCTCCAAATGAGCAACAATCCTTTTAGCCTCAAGTACTTTTAGATTAATATTTCCTACCACAGACCAATTCCAATTTGATAGATGTTTACCCAGCTTTTTTCGCAACAGCCACAATTTAATCAAGGGATTTTAGTGGTAGCAGTCCTTCCATACCAGCGACACTTGATTAAGAAAATCCTGGTGGGATGACCACATGTTGAGATATCTAAAACATGATTTTTTCTTTATAGGAGAAGCTGAAATAGTGATTAGCAATGGCCTGTGATCTGAGCCTGTCATGCTAAGATGCTGAACAGAAGTATGCAAATACTTACTCAACCAAAGGGAGTTAACAAGTATTATGTCCAATCTTTCCCACAAAGAGCCCCTTATCCAAGTAAATTTAGCGCCACTGAAATGCAGGTCAAATAACCCTGCCAAGCTAATGTTATCATTGAAGCTATTAATCTGATTAGTATTTAGAGGATTACCACCCAATTTTTCAGAGGGTGCAGAAATACAGTTGAAATTCCCACCCACCATCCAAATTGAGTTACAAGATACGCTAATAGAATTAATATTGTCCCAAAGTTCCTTTCTAGCAATGGAAGAGCTCCCAACATAAAAAAATGTGGCCAGACCCACCTAACCCCCAATATTAAATTGAATATGGAGAAATTATGGATGATCCCACAGTATATTTCATAAGATCTCCTTCCTGCAAAGCACCCAAATTTTGTTATTTAAATTTGAGAAATTAGTGAAACCAGGAAACCGTTTATGTATTTTCCGAGAGTTTTTTGAGACCAAAGCCTCCAAGATAACTAAAATAAAAAATTTATACATCCTATCAAAGCAAGTAATCTGTTAAGGGATTTAGGATGTACCAACCCCCTAACATTCTGGCAAAGTAGGTTCATCATCCAATGAAGATGGATTTTCCCCTCCTTCTGGTTCTTGCCATAGCCTCTTTTTTATCTAGATGAGATTTTCTGTCCTTGAGAGAGTAACCACCTTCCTACACAATTTTTAGTTCTTGATTACCCTTTTTCTTCTTTATAGATTTTTGGACTTGCCATTCCTCTTCCATTGTTGAATGCAATTCCTCAACTAAGGTGTCATCCATAGGATGATCCCTATGGTCCACCACAGTGAGTTCTTGCTGAACAAAAGTTGTTTGGAGAACAGGAGTGACGGGTTCATTATTTGTTTTTGCTTCTGAACTATCTATAACTAGCTCACCTTTAAGTTCTTGAGATTCTTTGTGAAGTCCATAAGGTCCTACTTCAAGATTGGGAAGGGTTTGAAGATCAGCACTGGTAGCCCCATCCCCGAGACACATGTTTTGGGCATCCAGAGACATTTCAGGAGACTGCTCAACAACCTCATTGGGGGCCACATGAGTATTATTGGCCATTTTCCTGAGATGGGGATGAAGTTTAAAACATCTACTATCTATGTGACCAAACATTCTACAGTGGTAACAATAATAAGGCTTTCGTTCAGTTATTATCTTCTGCCAATAGGCATTATGCTCAGTTCCCAACAAAATTTCATCTACTTCAGGTAGGGTAATGTCCCTCTCCACTAGAATTCTAGCAATAGAAGGTCTAGATAAGTTAAATGTTGGAACATCTAATTTAAGAGGTTTGCCCAAAGCTTGTCCAATGTTGAAAAGGACTTTATGGTTGAAAAAATGCAGCTTAAGCCCTGGAAGTTTAAACCAAATAGGTACTATAGGAAGTTCCTTACTAGGGTCAAAATCAGTGGACCACTTTAGGATCTTCATGGTGATCCCTTCAATTAGTAAAACTTGGAAAAATTTCTTGCATAATCTTCCTCCCTGGATAAAGTAATTAAGATATGCCTTCCATAAAAAAGGCCCACCCTCCAAGCACCCTTGAGCATGATGTTGTCAAAGAACTTTCAAATTGCTTCCATTTTAGGGTTGCCCAATTGAAATTTCACTATGAGAGTGAACTTACAGACCTATGTTAAACCTTGAATATCCTCCTCGGAATAAAATATAGCCATCTTTCCACCTTTCCTGCTTAAAGGCTTGATAATGGGGTCTACAACCTTATGGTAGGTCTGGGGGAAGACCAAGTCATAATAATATTTGATAGTATCAAAACCTTTCCAAACAATATCAACAAAATTTTCCTTAGTCCATTGAATTTTTGTGGGTAAATCTAAAGTATTTTGCTCAACCATCATACAAAACTTCAATGTAACAGTAAACTTTTTGAAAAACTGGTCGCCCGGGAAAGAGGAAAATTAGAATAACAATAGAAACCTCCAAGAAAGGATGGAAAGAAATCAGGGAGAAGGGAGAAAACAAAATAATGAAGGGAAAAGAGCCACCACAAACCTCAGCCATTCCATGGAAACCCTAGCAGAGCAAGCTCCAACACAGCCGCCATCATTTATATATGACCTCTCAAATGAACCTAAACCTGATCAATATTGGACAGGGTAATATAAAAGTCCGTCTTAAGGATTGGCAGGAGATAAACCTCATGCCACTTCCCTTCATTTTTGCTTGGTTCCTTTGGATGGCTAGAAACAAGGTGAAACATGAGGATAGTGGGACAAGTACTGCTACTGTGATGACTAACAGTCTGACATACTTAAATAAGCTGATAAGTTGGAAGAAATTTCCTAAGATATTGAAGACCTTACCTAATATTGATGTACAACATATGAAGGTCATCAAGGTAAGATGGGAGAAGCCTCCTCACCCCTACATTAAAATCAACACAGATGGAAGCTACACTAACAAGAAACCTGGAATTGGGGGGATCTTCAGAGACCACACAGGACATACTTTGCTTTACTTCAAGGCCCCATATATTGTTGAAGATGCACTGGATTCTGAAGTTGATGCACTTTACTGGGCTCTAAAATTTTCCAAGGGAAACAAGTGGAAGTGGATCATAGCTTAAGTGGACTCTTCCCTCTTGGTGGAGCTGTTGACTGAAAACTATTCATCCCCTTGGCACATAAACCAGTGGATTCACAAGATAAAGAACCTTAGCCTTGAGATGAAGATCTAATTCTCCTTTGTGTATAGGGAAGCTAATAGGCCTGCTAACTTCCTGGCTTTGGAGGGTGCTAATTCAAATCATGATGAGGTCTCCACCTCCCTCCCCCCCTCCATCTGTTAATTTAGGGGGACAAACTTCACATACCTTATCTAAGATTGCAACAATGATTGCTGGCTTCTAAGACAAAGGTCACGAATTGTTACTGGTCATCCACAGTTGTTGTGCACCTCTTTCAAAATTTTGTTTGTTAGCTTGAGGGTAGGTACATGTAATTTTGGTATACTTAGTTTTTGCTTTGTTGGAGAGGGTTCCTCAATAGTCTACTTCCTTGTATTAGGTTTTGTTTCTTCTTGGAGGAACCTAGTTTTATCTCCTTGAGTTGTACTCTCTTGTTTTAATACACATGTAGGGAGCCCACAGTGCTCCTTTCCCATATATATATATATATATATATATATATCTACAAAACTGTTACAAGATAGTAAAGTAAGGGAGAGCCATATTATCCCCATTAAGTAGGAAAGATAGTTGTGAGATAGGGGCATTCCCAACATAGATCTGCTCAGTGTTGCTTCCCTGGGAAGCATGCCAATGGGCAGGGCAGTTGCCCTCCCTAGGAATATATTTAAATTCCACCCTACAGCAGTGTAAGAGTACATTCAACTGGCTTTTCCACTTGATTAGGTTCCAAGGAGGAGCTTCATCACTAAGCAAAATGTTAATGCAAACAGTAGAATCAACTTCTACAATCAGGGGGCCCATATAGCATTGATGTGCAATTCTGATGACCCAGTAAATAGCTCTGAATTCTTCCTCGAAAGCATCAAGAGCCAATATAGGAGCAGTAAAGTACATAATACAATTTCCATGAGAGTTCCTAAAGCCTCCCCCAACACCAGCATGACTTTTTGAAAAGCTGCCATCAGTGTTAACCTTCAGCCAGCCATTAGTAGGGGGGCTCCAAAAAAATTAATCTGGATTTATGTGGATGAAAATTGGTATTGTTGGGTATCAAATTTCTTATTACATTTGGGAAATGGTGATACTTGATCAATTTTTGAATGTAAGAAGTGCAGTTTAAGATCACTAATCAGAATTTGCAAAAACCAGTGATGAGAGGAGAGAAAACTAATTGAACTTGATGAGGTAGTTGAGATTAGGTCATCTACAGCAACAACTAGATCCATTCTGTCGAAACCCTAGCAGAGCAGCAGTGGAACCAGCCGCCACCCATTGAGAGCTATATTAGGATATATATATATATATATCTACAAAACTGTTACAAGATAGTAAAGTAAGGGAGAGCCATATTATCCCCATTAAGTAGGAAAGATAGTTGTGAGATAGGGGCATTCCCAATATAGATCTGCTTAGTGTTCCTTCCCTGGGAAGCAAGCCAATGGGCAGGGCAGTTCCCCTCCATGGTAATATATTTAAATTCCACCCTACAGCAGTGTAAGAGTACTTTCAACTGGCTTTTCCACTTGATTAGGTTCTAAGGAGGAGCTTCATCATTAAGCAAAATGTTAATGCAAACAGTAGAACCAGTTTCTACAATCAGGGGGCCCATATAGCATTGATGTGCAATTTTGATGGCCCAGTAAATAGCTCTGAATTCTGTCTCCAAAGCATCAAGGGCCACTATAGGAGCAGTGAAGTACAAAATACAATTGCCATGAGAGTTCCTAAAGACTCCCCCAAAACCAGCATGACCTTTTAAAAAGCTGCCATCAGTGTTAACCTTCAGCCAGCCATTAGCAGTGGGCTCCAAAAAACTAATCTGGATTTATGTGGATTAAAATTGTTCTTGTTGGGTGTCCAATTTTTTATTATATTTAGGAAATGGTGATACTTGATCAATTTTTGAATGTAAGAAGTGCAGTTTAACACTGAATTTGACCCATTGACCCAAGAAAGTGTTCATCAAACTTAACTTGATTTCTACACATCCATATAAACCAAGCAACCAAACAAGAGATCACTAAGAGGTTACTACTCTGCCAATCCTCCTAGCAAGTGATAAACTTGAGCTAACTTAAGTTGCAGGTGTCAATTTTCAGATGATTCAGAAGCCCTGACCAGATCCTTTGGGAGAAATTACAGGTGAAAAATAAATGCTCCAATGATTCTTCTGCAATTCTTCTGCAGCATTGCATAAGCATTGCATATATGGCAAATTGAAGGCCCTCTCAGCCCTTTCATCTTTAAGATATCATCAGTAGGGAGTGAGGAATGCTAAGTATCCAACAGAATAATGTTATGGAAGGAGTTAGGAGCTTACCCCAAATGGCTTTACCGCAGGCCACCTGATTCCAATGAAAAAATTGATGATAAATGTAGGTAGATAATCTCTGGGAAATGGCATGTTTAGTAACAATTTTATCTTCTTGATTAGATGAGAAAGGATTATCCTTAACCCATCTAACTTGTTCATTGGATAAGACATTGTTGAGCATCCTATAGTTCCACAGATCTTCAGACCAAAAGTCTGATATATATATTAAGATCAAGAGGGCCTAATAGCGAACTAGGTTTGATATGTAAGAATTGTCTTAATTGGGATTTAAAAAGATGGACTTAATTAATTGATAAAAACTTCCAAACACTTTAGGCCCTAATTTAACTCTGGACATTAAAATCCTTAATGACTTTTTGACATGCCCTTTGGGGTACCCATTCATATATCTGTCAAATGAAATGTTAAGCGACTATCTAACTTCCATCATTTCTTAGGATAGTTGAAATATCAAGGTTCACTAAGCAATGTGGTAATTCAATTTTGAGATGATTAATGGGACAATATAATATGTTTAAAATGAACTCAAAATGTTTCAAGAGATGTTAAAAATTTTTTAGGGTCATGTCATGAACATTTTATGATCTCTTAGATATTTTGAAGGACGATTGAACTTATTATATTTTTGTTCTAGGAAATCATCCACTAAGATCTTTTAGGACTTACTGAGTCATGGTTTGAGGTTTTGGTAGCTACACCTTTATCTACACTTGCAATTTATTTAAATTTCTTTCAAAATTATATACATGTTGCAAAAGCTAATCTTGTAGCGAGAATGCCGAAATGCCGAGAAGATGACAGGTACGCTTTTACAATGTTATTTAATTTATATCATTTTACTTTTTGCAATCTACTTTTGCTATAAATTATTTTAATTGGCTTGGTTACTTGTGCACCTTACTTGTAAAAATTAAAACCATTTTTCAAAAATTAATCAACATTTAAAAAAATCTAAAACAAATTCTTTAAAAGGTAACCATAAATCCTTTGAAATATCACTAAACTTAAAACGTCCTTTTTAATTTTTGGGAGTTCCTCGGATGAGGTAACCCACAGTTGCTAATGAGATCTCCTCAGTTTAAATAAGTACAACAACTTGTTTAAGCTAAGTAAGTTCAAAAGAAAACAGTGATACCAGAACGAGGGAACCGTGGGATCCTAACTGGTTTTGCTCTAATCTACTTTAACCCGCCATAAATTTAAAGCATTTGGTAAAACCTTTTGGACCTTAGACATTAAGATTGCTACTTCATCGAGGAGCTTGGAGCTAACTCTATGGATAACAATCTACAATAGCATGAGGATCTACAACAACACATCTTTCCTTATAATTAAATAAATAAGTCATATGAGTTCTAGGTCGTCTGCCTAGTGCAACATAAATCCTCACTTTATCTTTAGGCATTTATATAGTTTGTTATAGAATTTAAGCCCTAAATTGCCTAAGTTTCGAGGCTGTCATTTGATCTTGACATTTTATATAGATAGATGTAAAATGCGATGTATGTGATTATATGATTAATTTCCTTAATAATTATTCTTAATTTGCAACAATGAAAAAAACTTAATCTAAAGCAAAAGCTAGGTAAATTTTTCACTGTGAAGCAAATAAGAATGCATTTATAATATTTAAATATGGAATATTATGCAAGTATACGTATTGTTATCAAGTAATATAGAACTTTCTAATTAAGTCCTGAATGTCGAACCCACAGGGAGGATTGGATTTAAATAACAAAATACTTAGCAATATATATTCTTACTCAAACTTAAGATGCTATAATAGAAATGAAATTTTGATTCTTTTTGTGATTTTTGATAATTAAAAATAAAGAGAGCAACTAATTAACTTAATTAAAATACTTGCAAGATGAAGGCAATATAGATAAAATATATTTTTCCTTATCATGAATAAGTGATAAATATAGAAATTCTATTGTGGAAGTATGCTAAATGTGTTGTACCAAATACGAACAATAATATTCTTTACCCTCACTAGAGATGCTATAAATAACATTGGTTAATCAATAGTTTTAATAGACTTGATGACCGATTAAGCAGGGAAGATACTAGTTTTCACTCCAGAGTTCCCTCTTCTCCCTCCAAGTAAAGGCTAACATCTTGTATTAAAACCTAAAACTATAAATTAAATTGAGGGCTTCAGCCTGTCACTCTAAAGTCCTCTAATTTTACACCCTTGAAATTATATTTCCCTATCTATTTGCACTAAACCCCATGAACTACATTCTCATTCAAGAAATCAATATGTGATTCCAACCATTTGCTGACTGAGACAATCTCATCTCGGATCTTACATGTTTTCACAATAGGTTTTAACATCTTAATTGGCCAAATCAAGTAGTAAATGAAGTGCAAGGTCCTGAATCATCACATTTTATTCCAACATTGAAGACTAATACTTCACACAACTTCCTTTAAACATTTAATCACTTATCATTTTAAGAAAAATGATAAATGAAACTACTCGGAATTCATAAAGAAAACACAACCACACATGAGTTTAAAAGTAGAAATCAAGCACAAAAATAAAAAAATGTAAATTAAAAACCAAGTGTAGTCACAAAGATAAACACTTATCTCA